GGCACTCTAGCCCAGGCAACAGAGTAAGACTCTGTCTCAAAAAAAAAAAAAAGTCAGAAGAAAATCATTAGAAATGTTTCAAAGAATATGATCATGACAGCACTGCTTGCAATAGCAAAATTTGAAAGTAATCTTCGTTGCACAAGAATACAAAACTATTAAAATATATTCCTACAAAGGGATAATATGTAACCATTAAAAATAATGCTGTAAAAATGAATTTATTGACATGGAATGATACATTAAGTAGAAAACTGGCTACAAAACAAGTCTCAAAAATGATCTAGTTTTTATTCTACAAACACATCTCTGTCTTCCTCTATATTTCCCATGATACTCTCCATCTTTTTCAATTAAAAAAAAGTCTGGAAAGCTGTATGATAGAAAGGGTCTGATAGGACTGATTCATCTTGGTATGAGTAATTCTAGGTATTTCAAAACTAATTCCTTTTAGTTTTTTATATTTTCTGATTTTTCTTTAATGAATATTAATTGCTTTGCAATTTAAAACAATAATTTTACAAAAAAGAGAAATCAATTTAGGGAAAGATTGAGTCAGGAATACTTGAAGTACATCACTGAGGTCAACATCATGCAAGACTATCACCATATTTTCCCACAAAATAGTCTTTGGTGCCTCTGTCAGAATTTAGGGCTAGCTAGATTGAATATTAGTCTGACTCAGCATGGCATTTCCTTTTGCTCTTTTGCTAATGCTTAAAAGCTTGAAACTCTGTACTCTATTCAATACATTTCATCAAATATTTATTGAGCACCTACTATGTGCCAAGCATTAAGGATATAAGATTAACAAGACATAGTTCTGTTGCAATTTAAGTCAATAAGTGCCCTCATAATACTGTGTTCTGCTTTGAAAGTCTGTAGTGTTTGTTGTGATAATCTTCTACAGGGAAAATATTCATACAAAACAATATCTAAGAAAATTCATACTAAAAAATATCTATCTTCTTACTGTTTAACTCTTGTAATATTTTAAGCATAAGTAGGATTACGCTGAATCATTATTTTAAAAAATTCACATATTTGTGGCTCTTCACTATAATACCACCTCTATTCTCCACTCAAATCAACATTTCAATTCAACATATTTTAGTAGAAATTATTTCAATCTGTTTAGCCTTTGAGCCAAAGGCTCTTAATTTGAATTGAGATCCTGACTAAAGACTCCAGTTCTCTAATAAGGCAAAACTGTTTTTTTTTTTTTTTTTTTTGAGACAGAGTCTCACTTTGTTGCCCAGGCTAGAGTGAGTGCCGTGGCGTCAGCCTAGCTCACAGCAACCTCAAACTCCTGGGCTCGAGTGATCCTTCTGCCTCAGCCTCCTGGGTAGCTGGGACTACAGGCATGCGCCACCATGCCCGGCTAATTTTTTTATATATATATCAGTTGGCCAATTAATTTCTTTCTATTTATAGTAGAGACGGGGTCTCACTCTTGCTCAGGCTGGTTTTGAACTCCTGACCTTGAGCAATCCGCCCGCCTCGGCCTCCCAAGAGCTAGGATTACAGGCGTGAGCCACAGCGCCCGGCCGGCAAAACTGTTTTTAAAGGCTAAATCAGGAAGTTCGTTTCAAACTAAAGTTGCTAAACCCTGGGTAACCAATAATTAACGAACCAAAATTGTTGAACTAAGTTGAACTTAGTAACTCTGTACAAATGTGCTTATTACATTATATATTACAATTGTTTTTCTTCATCTTTTTGCTCATTAATTATTATTGCTATATCCAGAAGATGTTTTTTATTTGTTTTCCCCCCCAAAAAATTCTCTTGGCATGGAGTTTACATGAATCTGAGTGTAAAGGAACCTGGTGATCATCCTGTACCACTATTTTATTTTGTAGAAGAGAAAATTTGAGTCAGAAGTAAAGTAATTTGTAGGAGTGTAGTTGCTTTTCATAGGTATGTGAAAACTGGTAGTTATTGTTGTTAGAAACTTGCCCTTCAGATAACCAGTCCATTGATCTTACTTGTCCTGGATTAGTTCTCCTATTGTTGGGTTAAACCATTCTTTGGGCCTGTAATTTGCTCAAGACACTATGCATATTGCTTTTTCTTTCATGATATTTGGTGGATCAATTTACTCATTTAACAGATATGTAATGAGTACCTATTATGTGTCAGGTACTGGTCGTGGCATTAATTCAAATTGTAACAGAAATTATTAAACAGTGAGTATGTTTCAAAACCATACGTATATGAACATTTTGTGGCTCATTCTGTGTGTGTGCACATATATATATATATATATGAAGAGAGAGAGGAAGGGAGAGTGTGTACTTTTTTCCCTTTCTTTCCTGTGTAAAATCTGCCAAATTTTCTATCTTAACTGCTATTATGTGCCAAACATGTACTATTAAAATTAGCTTGTTTCTGAGAAGCGTGTCTACACTAAGGCTCCTGGGTTTTATTTTATGATGAAATGCTAATTTTTCCTTTATAAAAAAAATTCTTTATTTCATAATTTTGAATAGGATCGTACTTTCAGAGTTGTGCATCTGATTAGATTTGGGGAATTAAACATTTCAGCATAATAATATTTTTTCCTAGGCCTGCAGCATTTTCATCTTATTGTGAAGTAGAAAAACTCTTATTAATTTTAAGGCTTTGGTTTCAGAATGATATGCAAGAGTACAACTCGTGTTATATGAAATAGTATAGGTTGAGCATCCCTGATTTGGGAAGACCCAAAATCTGAAATGCTCCAAAATTCAAAACTTTTTGAGTGCCAACATGACAACATAAGTGGAAAATTCCACACAAAGCTACTTAACACAAACTTTGTTTCATACATAAAATTATTAAAAATATTATATGAAATTATCTTCAGCCTATGTGTATAAGGTATATATGAATCATAAATTTTGTTTTAGACTTTGGTCTTATCCCCAAGAGATCTCATTATATATATGTAAATATTTCAAAATCTGAAAAAAAATTCAAAATCCAAAACATTTCTGGTCCCAAGCATTTCAAACAAGGGATACTCAACCTGTACAAGTAATGCAAGACTTAGAAATACCACTTCCTTCTTTAAATTATCTGTCTCCATTGTAAAACTGACAGTCAATTTTTAGTACTCCTGGTCATTTTTATATTTCTTCTGTTCTCTTTTTCACTCCTCAGACAGCATTTTGGTCCTATGTCCTTGCTCTCTCTTTTTATAGGTCTGCCCTAGCTTCTCATTTCAGTTGTTATTTAATGTTACTAGTCTTGCTGTCAATGCATCCCAGTCTTTGGATTCCAGATTGCTATTCTATATCCATCTGCTCTGTCCTGATTGTCAGGGAAAATTGTTGCTCTCCGCCTGATGGGACATCAAAGCTCTGACAATCTTTGGCTCCTGCCTCATTCAGAGATGGGTAGTATATGACAAAGGATACAGACTTTTTGGCTGTACATTTAGTGTATCTCCCCAAATTTCCAAAGACTAACACTAACCTCCATTTAGAGGCAAACAGCAAAGAAAGTTGCAGGACCACCAAAAAAGAGAAGGGAATCTGAGGAGTTAGTGTTTTCAGTTCTGTACGTAAGGACAAACATTACCAAGTGAGTGTGGTACTATAAACAAGTATCTCCTGAACTGTTTTTATAGGGGAGAGGAGGCTTAAAATTGCTTGTGGGTACTGATATTAAAATATTACAAACACATAAAGTTTCCTTGATGTTTGCAAAAAAGCCACAATATACGAACAAAGAATTACCCAACTAATGCCTTAAACCTAATTCATAGTATCACAGTGTCATAGTATAAAATAGTACTATGGATGCCAAAATCAATGTCTTAAGACTAGCCAAGTACTAAAGGTACACTTGTTTATACTGCACTAACCAGTATTTCAAACCTTATTTTTAGGTCACACATAACACTAACAAACCAGTAAATAAGCACCATAAGATTATGGGTAAAAATGTAGGAGGAAGGCCACAGCAAAAATTTATAGGAAAACCTGCCACCGTATAATTAAAGATGCCACCAAAAAGTTTTTAGCTATTTTTCGATTTATATTCCTATGTACTTTTGAGATGGAGCCAAATAAATGAGCTCAGAGAAAGGTATAAAGGCCATTTTAGGTCCCAGTCTTGGGTGTGTCAGTGTTTGTCGTAACAGCAGAAGGAAGGCTGGAACAGAAAGTTGTAAATACCATAAAAGGAAAAAATAGTGTTAAAAAATTTTTTTTTCTCTTAAAAATAACGGCAAAAAAATCCACCATCTTTCTAGAGTGTGCGTTCTCACCTTCCAGAATAGATATTGAGCTTTTAAACAAACCTACCGGAGAAGCAAGCCCTCTCTAGAAAACCACAATCTTTTCCCAAACAAGGACAGCGGGGTTCTTTCTATAGTCGCGGTTTCCCCTTCTCATCTGGGAATTGGTTTGCCTTTCCATAGCCGCCCGGCAAGGGGGTTGGGGGTTGGGGGGTGCGCGCCAAATTGGCGAGGCTCCGCCAAATCCCAGGGACTCTCCTTTGGAAGACAGAGGCTCCTCCTTTGGACGTGAGGCGCCCCGGCCAGAGCCCGCGCTCACAGAAACGGAAACCACTAGCTGCGCTCAAGTCAGTCAAGTGATGAAATCAAGACTACATGGGAAGGAAGCTCGCAAACCTAACTGGTGACAGAGGCTGCTGAACTCTGCCCGAGGAAACTACTCGAGCCAACAGTTGCTGCCCCCATGAAGTGGTCCTCGGGGGTGCCGGGCCTCTCAGTCTCCCGGCAGCGCACCCCTTCATTTTGGCGAACCGACGAGGAAGGGAAGCGCGTGAAGGAAATCTAGATCTTCTGGTTCCCCGAGGACCCAGACTGTGTGTTCCGGATACAAGGTGACCAACTGCCACCAGGTCAGTGCAGGACTCCCCAGACGCAGCCGGGCGGGGAGGCGCGACTCCGCGCGGAGCGCCAGCCTCGCCGCCTGCGGAGGGAGCAGCCGCGCGGCTGGGACGCTCGGCCCGGACTGCGCCCTGCCCCGCGCGCGCCGCCGAGTTCTCACCTGGAGCGCTCAGGTAGGGCTTGGGCGGGGCTGGAAGCTGGCGCGCAGGCGCGGGACCGGGGCCTCGCCCCTGCCGACGTCGCAGGCTGAAGCTCACCTGGGAGACTCTAGGAGGAAGCCGCGCTTGGGTTCGGCCTCTCCTGGCAACGCGGGAGGCCCAGCGGGAAGGCAGGAGGCGGCGGCGGAGGAGGAGCTCGACTGAGCGGCAACTGTAGCGACAGCAACCGGAGTCGCCGCCGCCACCACCTGCACCTGGCGCCCGGCACAAGTCCAGCGCCCGCCCGGCCGCCGCTTCCCGCCGCCCTGCCCAGCCCACCTGCCAGGTAAGCAGGCGGGCCGGCGGCGGGGGCCCAGGAACCCCTGGTCTGCGTCGGAGGGGGTGCTAGGACAGCCACGGAGGTGCACATTTGGGGGAGAGGGCTACAGTCCCGGCGGCCGGTTGGAGACGGTCTCGAGAGCAGTGTTTCAGTTGACCCCAGGAAGAGGCCAAAAGGGGCGCCCCGGGGGTAACCCGGTCATCCCTGTTGCCCGCGGTGTTCCCTGTCGGTCTCTGTAGGGTGGCCTCAAAGGAGCCAGACCCGGATCAAAGCCCTGGTGTCCCCGGACTTGTCTTTAGGAGGGTCACAGAGTGGGAGCCCTGGAGGGGGTTGGCCAGGCGCAAGGTGGCAGCGTTTTCACTCGGGCTAGCAGGTTGCCTGTCTCCTCCCACCCCTCTGCCAGAGGGGGCCATCCTGCGACAGGGACGGGCATGGCTTTGCCAGACAACTTTCCCAACCGGACCCCAGTCAGTTCTAGGCTGGAAACTGCGGCCGCCGAGCCATTTACATGGTTTCCGAGTGGTCTGGAAAGCACTCTGTGGTCGGGACGCGGTCATCTCTCTCTGTTTCGACCCTACACTTTTCCGGGTGCGCTCCCCTAGCCAGAGCTGCACCCACTTTCCGGTTTGATCGGGAAGAGTTCTTTAATTCGTGGCAGGAGGAAATCCAACTGCCACGCACCAACCCACACCATCTCCTTGCAGGACCTGTTGACTTAAGGACCTGTGTATCGCAGCTATGGTTTGCCTGTGGCATATGACTCAAAGGTTCGAAAAAACATTGTTCCAGGATCCGGCCACGTCTGAACTTGGGTGTGCCAGGCCCAAATTCCTCTCCCTGCCTAATTAGGCTTTTCTGAAGCCTAAGAGTTGAGGGTAAAACTGGCACTTACCTTAAGACTTTTATTTCCTTCTTTCTCAAACTCATCAAGAAACCGTATCTGTTTTTAGAACCCCATCGAGTAACCAGTTTTTCTAATTTTTAGAAAACGTTATTAAACTAACATAACTTGCTATAGAAGTTACACTACATAATGAAGACATTTACACTAAAATTCTGTGGTTCAAAAAATCAAAGTTACTACATTTTAACCTGAGAATTTTTGGTTATGGGAAATTTCTGTTGCTTCTTTTATTGTATAAATTTTTCTTTGAGTTGGTGGCCAAAATACATGAGGTTAAAGTCACATGCTACAATAAGTTTTTTTTAATTTAACTTTTAATATCTGAACTATGAAGAATCTAGCATGTTAAACATTCTGAGCAGTTTAATTGTATCAAGCATCTTTCTTTTTATAGTGCTTTAACCATTTTAACATAGACGTTCCTAATAACAAATAGCAATTCCCTTCTCTAGATTTGTTTAGTTCTACCTTTGCTAATTTTTAAAATATATTTTAAATTGCACATTTAACTTAAAATGCCTTAGGCAACACCTACAGATTTTTGTAAAAGGTGCAATTAAAAACTAAAAGCCAACCACAACATAACAAGATGTAATTATTAATTCAACTCAGGTTTCTCTGCTTTTCTCAAAAGATCCTCACCTGTCGTCTTATACTTATTTCCATACAGGGAAATAAATATGCCAAATACTGTTTAAATATTAGATGTAGAAGTTACCTGAATTTTGAATATTAATCTTCACTGGTTAGTGGGCACACACGTTATCTCTAGGAAGAAATGTAACATGTTTTCATTAGCTATAGTAACAGTATGCCCTAGTTAATCTCTCTGTAAAATAGGAAAATTAATACTTCCCTAGATTAAGATAACAAGGCCTTCAAAAAAATCAGGAATATTCTCTGGCTCTAGGATTCTGGGATCCCCTTCTCACTTCGGAGATTCAATTAACCTATCTAGTTTGTGATAAACTGAAGGCGAGAGGTATTCTAACTTCACTTCACCTGACAGGGTGTTGTCATTCCAGTGGTTTGGCTCATGGCTCCTGGAGCTTACTTTTTACCACCCACAGTCTCACTTATCATAAGGTATTTATCTTTTTTCTTCATATGGTTTATAAGGCCTTTGTAATTGCAGAATAGTCAATTGTTCTTTCTCCAGTTCTGATTTACCTTAATTTCTACTTGTCCAAATTGATGCCTGACTCCATGGAAACTACTCAGTGAGGCCATCATGTTTTTCTTCAACTTGTGGAACATATGTGTATTAAAGATTCCATATTGTTTGAGATTTTTAATCCTTTCTTGGTATTTCAGAGACACAGTTAATTTTTTGAGTTACCATAAACCACATTATTTAGTCTTCTGATCTTTTATTATATTGGCTTAAGATATATTTTATGAGGCAGCAACCCAGTGTCTTTCCTCCTTTTGCCACACTTTAGATTTTTGGTTTCAAGCACATTTCCTTAACATCAATGTCTTTTAAACTTTTTTTGACTGCAATCCTCAGTAAGTAATGTATTCTCTGCCTCAACTCAGTATACTCTAGTGTGAGTGTCTATAAATGAAACAAGTTTCACAAAACAATACTTAATTTTATAACATGGATACTCTCGATAATTTTATTTTTTTTTTTAATATTGGTCTCAACACACTAGATTGCTTTTATGACTAATGTGCTTGAGCCTACAATGTGAAAATAAGCACTATCCTATTAAGTCTACATTTTTAAAAAGCTGATTTTGGCTGGGTGCGGTGGCTCACGCCTATAATTCTAGCACTCTGGGAGGATGAGGCGGGTGGATCGTTTTGAGCTCAGGAGTTTGAGACCTTGCTTCTACCAAAAATAGAAAAAATTAGCCGGGCACAGTGGCGCATGCCTGTAGTCCCAGTTACTTGGGAGGCTGAGGCAGAAGGATCACTTGAACCCAGGTGTCTGAGGTTGCTTTGAGTTAGGCTGATGCCACTGCACTGTAGCCCGGGCAACAGAGTAAGACTCTGTCTTAAAAAACACCAAGCAAACTGATTTTTCTATAAATTTTCTGTCTTATATACATTTATACAAACAGGAAAGAAAATCAAACTAGTATTTCATAAAATCATACTGTAATCCTAAGTAAACATTTATTGCAGGGCTTGAGGCTCTTGGACTTTGGTGCTAGATTCAAATCTTTCAACCATTAGGAATTACATGAAACCTCCTTGTATATAATTGTGTTTTAAATGAGTTCTCAGCATGCTGTAGTGTATTTAGGAACAGGAAAAACTAGAAGTGTTTTTCTGGAGGGATTTTGATATGGCGACCATTATCAAGTGAAAGTTTGAGAGAGAAAAATAATTCTGTCCAGCTCTATTCTAAACTCTTAAGTTTTATGACTGAGTTATAGTTCTGGGCAGAGTCTGAAAAATTTATTAGAGAAAACATAGCCCAGTTTATTTGGTTTGTATTCTGTTAATATTTTATATTTTTCTTTTTTATTATGAAACAAGTTTAAGAGAAATTATAGAAATCATACCCTCTATCACCCAAGAAAGACTAGATGGAAACATTAGACTAGATCCTTACATGATTTATAGGCAGAGAAGCTTTCAATTTTTACCTGCCTTTACGCTCTTGGTGGACGAAATTTTTCTCCTAAAGAAAATAGTATCATATTTAATATTTTGTAAATGATCAATGCCTCAATCATCTTCAGATGTATTCAGTTCTATGGCCCATAAAGTATAAAAATACATGTGGAATGACAGATCTTTTATAGGTATAAAATCTGATTGTGAAAGAAGGAGGTATTTTCAATTACCTGTCCAATTATGCATACAGTTAGTATCAGAATAATAAGTATTATGTAATTTTGGTAAATTTAATACAACTAATGTACTGTCAATGGCAACATTGAATTCAAACCAATTCCAGCAATGGCAAGAGACCAAAGTGCATTAAGTTACGGCAAAGCAAAGACAAGTAGCACTCTGGATTCTAGGTCATTAGTGACTACTAATGACTAGATGAAGATTCCTTGAGTCACTCTTTGAGTCAGGCTCATATTTTTTGGCTCTAAATAGCTATATGATTGCCTGCTGAATTTCTTTAAGTTGTCATAGTCACTGGAGATTATACATGTGTAAACCAGAACCTTCAGCCCATCCAAAAACCAAATGAACAAATAATCTGTTTCACTTCCTGTATTCTATCTATAGGTATTAGGACATTTGCCATTTCTTATCTACAATTCCGAAGTCAGCCTCTGAAAACCAAAAAGGTTTTTGTAGGTCATTTGTTAGCAAAACTTAAACTCATTTGGAGCAATGCCTAAGTGTACTGTCAGGAAGCTATCATGTATTTCACTTGGTGGAATGTGTCTTGCTACAGAAATAGTGCTGTTTGGTTATGTAATACTGCCCCAGGCCCTGATGGCCTATACTGTTTTACTGGGTACATGAACCAAGTCACCTTTCTAACATCCGAAAAATTCTGATTTTTTTTCTTTGTTTTTTTTTGTTTTTGTTTTTGTTTTAAGAGACAAGTTCTCTCTATGTTGCCCAGGCTGGCCCTGAACTCCTGGGCTCAAGTAATCCTCCCATCTCAGCATCTTGAGTAGCTGAAACTATAGGCATGTGCCTGGCAAATTCAGAAGTTTGAAACACATTTTTGCTTCAGGGATTCGGGGGAATTAACCATAGATCTGTACCACTATCCAGGTGTCATGTCAGATCCAGAGGCCATTTTTAACTCTTTTTCTTAACTTTTATAACTACTGTGCTATGAATATTTGTGTCCCTCCAAAATCCATATGTTGAAATTTAATCCCAGTGTGTTGGTATTATTAAGAGGTAATGGACTAAGTCCAGTCTATAACAAAATACCTTAGACTGCGTAATTTATAAACAACACAGTCTGGAGGCTGGGAAGTCCAAGACGAAGGCCCTTAGTCTATTTAATTTGGATTGCTGTCATTTCCATCTTATTACTTTGAATTCCATCCTATCTTCGACCTTTTGGTTCTGTTCCAAGATCTGGGTTTTACTTTTTAAAAGGGAAAAGTTAACTTTGTGATAGAAATGTCTTTGGGAGGTGATTAGGTCAGGAGGAACCTGGCTTTGT